TGTCATCATCTTCACAACCCAAGAACTAGGCGATATCGAATTTCTGTAGAGATACTGTAATGCACCTCTACTTCTAACGTGATGCTGTAGTAATTTGGCTATAAGTTCAGTTCCTGTTGGTCAACTTGTTACTATAGTAACTTAAAACTTAAATAAACTTAAATAACATTAAACAGTCTGGAAAAAGACTCCGAAATCGAAAACCCATGTAAAAACTAACTGGCATTACACATTACATTATACGTGTATGTAAAACGTGGATGTCACGTTTATGTAACTGGGTTGAGTTTATTCTGTTGTAAAAAAAACATTTCGAGTATAGGTAAAAGGAGATGCTTATATTTGATATATCTACCGGCAGATATATATATTACGTATGTTTTCTTGTACCTCTAAGTTATTCGCACTCTCTTTTTTATTACTATTCTTAATTTTTTATTAGTTTGTCCCTTAGTAAACGAGCAAACGGGTCATCTGATGGTAAATAACTTACTACTTTTGCAAAAAGCAACGAATGAACTGCTTAGTACTGGTTTTCTCTGGGTCGTAGTATCATTCGTCCTGCGGGCCATTACGTGCCGGAACATGGCTCTCCCATTTTTGAGACTCCTACAATTTTGTAATATGTATGTGGACTGCACGGATGGCGTAGTGGTTTAAGCGGTAGCCACGCCGCTCACTATAACACTGAGTGTTGTGGGTTCGATCCCCACATGGGACGCCACTTTGTGTGATCCACAAATTGTTATTCTGAGTCTGGGTGTTCTTTGTGTCTGTTTCATGTATGTTTGTAAAGTCCCCCGCGACACAGGATTTATTCCTAATGCGGGAGTTGTCTTTTTTTAAAGAAAAATGTATTACGATATCACTTGTTAAAAATACTTTAAAACTGCAACTTCGTATTATTTTCTACATTCATGCTGAGTCATTATTTTTTCAAATAGCGACCATGAATATTATACGACCGTACCCGGGCTGTTTACGAATTCAATCAAAAGAATATGACACGCTTTGAAAAGTCTTGCAAAACTCAATTCTGGGTACATATTGAGTTTTGCAGGGTACTATGAATATGAAAAGGAAAGTGAAAATTTCATTATTAATGTATGTGCAGTTGTACACATGTCGTATTTAATATTTGATATTAAAAATGGAGTATTAATGTACTAGATACCTTTAAACATTTTTCAGTCACATCGCATTATTAAATTAAGTAGTAAGTAGGTAATATACTATATCCGAGTTTTGAGAGTACCTACATAAATAGGTATCCCTTGCTGATAACTTTTAAATATATAACGACTCTAATCCGTGTGATGACAGATTAAGAATACGGAGTGTCACCCCTTTGTTATTACCCTCGGATACCACCGTGGTTCGACATAACCACGGGTGGTTATGTCGAACTCAAACCGACCAAAAACCGCACTCCGTCTCGGGTACCAGTAGCCGGGGAACCAGGTGTACCCTAGGAAGGAAATCTCCGGCGACCACCATCCTGGCGCCTCGCAATATTGGGCTGAACTCTAGGCATCGCCGCATCGCAGACGTGGGTCATAACCTCCCGGAACCATTGTGCTTCGGCAATCTATGATCTGAACCCGTCTTTTCCCCTAAAACGACGCGCCAGTACTGGACACGACGCGCTAGCGAGGGGCACGCGAACGAGATGTCCACGATCGAACTGTGTCTACTCAATTATCTCTCGGCTCGGCGTGAAATAAGCGCCCACTATATCGCCAACCACCGCCGCTACGCAACACCGTCCCCCTTGCAAACACGACAAGAGGAGGAGTACCAGCGGATGGAGTGTCACCCCTATTTATCCATTGGGTGTCGTAAGAGTCAACTAAGGGAGCTAACTTCGCAGAACAGCACTGCTAAGAGACGGAAAGCTTGACATAAACCCTATACCAACTCGTCTGGCCAGCGTAGTACAGAAATTAGTTCTAAAGAAAGGTATATGTTCAGCAGTGAACTATTGAAGGCTGCCGATGTGAGGTGTGATGTGATGTGATATGACGACTCCAGGACCTATGTAATTAACTGCAAATTAGCCTGATAATCATTCATGAAAAATATTTGCCGTCGTTAGCTCATGTGACCAATTATGTATTGAATCTAGTTTTAATCTACATTCAAAGTTAATTTCTTTCGTTCTCACCGTCACTGGTGCTCTTGAAATAAATAGGTCCATTAACTACCCGGTATAGGCTAAATTATCGTAATAATACAATGCAGCTTTCGCCGAACTCTTCAGTTTTACAAGGTAACCCAAGTTTTTAGTTATTAGGATGGATGTGAGCTGGTCCTGGTAATAATATGTATTTATCGTAGGTTAACAGAAGAGAGTTTTTATCAGTTCTATCAAAAAATAGCCCTTCTAATAAGAGTTGCAACACAAAAACAATCACACAGTGTTTCGATACTGATACTGTGCTTGTTACGTGTTACACCGAAAACATATCTACGAACTTCTCGAGTTGCAGATCCATGTCAACCATTTTTTGTATTTTAACGTTTGTTATATATATGCATGCAGTATGATGCCTGTATTGACAGTTGGTTGATAGACCTCAATTTCAATTTTTCTCGATTTTTTTGAAGTTGTAAAGAAATGTTTTATATATACCTAAGAAGACTACTATAGTTACTAATTTTTTTATGGACTAGACAAAGTTTTAATTGATAGAAAATAATAAAATGATTCTATTTTTTTCATTAGATAAAATGATTCTCTTTTTTGGCAATTAAGAGTCAAAAGTTTACATAAGAAGGATTTAAGTTTTTTCTGAGAAGTATGCCTACCTCTCTGGAGGGGTAAGAAGAGGAGTAGAGGAGAGAAGAGGAGAGGCATTAAACGTCCATTATTATTTTAATTCCACTTAAGGAATTATATGGAGAAGTTCGACATATTGAGAGAAAAGGTAGAGTAGAAGAGAAGGCAATCGCAGGAAAAGGATATTGCTTATACGAATAAATTAGAAAATGTAAACATAATTATAATCAGTATTAATAGCAAGCTAGGATCGCATACCTGTTACTTAGGGTAAAATCACGGACTATAATCAAGGACTAAATTCGAAATGTTCGCATAAATAACGCGTCAAAGGTGATTGCACTCGATCAATATTATTATTATAGAGGTCAAGTTTATTTTTGTAAAATGATATCGAAACTATTTATGCCACATAAACTTTAAAAGTAAACTCAGAAGTTGACTTTTAAAGTTTATGTGGCATCAACTTTTTATAAAGTGGCTTCATTGCAGAAGTTAAAGTCATAATCTAAAGCTGTCAGAAAGCTTTTACTTACAGATAAAGTCTAAATTGAATTGGAAGGTAATTTATAGATATTATTATCAGTATGGTGAGATACACAAGGCCATTATTTTTTCAATTTCAAGTTGTATCTTGCAGCATTAGCTATCAAGTCGATCTGGAATTTCAATCTACGGAGAATCAGTTTCGTAGTTACATATAACCTAGTTGAACGAATAAGTTTTGCAATACGAAAGCAACAGAATCAAATTGAATATTACTGGAACTGAAATTGTTATATAACTGTTACTTCTGAAGTGCATGTAAAATGGTATCTAAAGATACGGTGTTAGTTATTAAATTTATACATACACTAGCGAATCGAACAGACGTTGTGCTACCCGAATGTAGACTTTTGTTTCGTGTTATACATGACTAAAAAAACAATCTCACTAGTCAGTAATAATATATATAATTTTCAGAATACAGTAACTTCAGAGAATCATTTCAAGATATAGAAAAAAAATCATCTAAAGCTGACATTGCAGACAGTTGACACAATTCTTGAACATGGTCCCAGCGCTATAGTCCATCAACGTCGTGCGCGGACGGTTCCTGCGGGGTGACAGACGGTGGCGGGGACGAGGTACTCAAGATGTCCGCGGGTAGCGGGTGGTGTAGCGGGGAATGGAAACAATTCTCTTCGTGTGTAGCCGTGTGCTAGAATGACGCGCTACCTCGCCCCCGCCACTGTCTGTCACCCCGCGGGATGGTCGCGCACGAGATTGCCTGGTTATACCTACCGGATTCAAGTGTAATTCATACATTTTTAGCAATCACTCAACTCGAACCTTTTTGAACACACATAGAAAATGTAAAAGGATCAGTAATATCGTTCAGGTGTAGGTCGGGGATCCACACATATACAGAAGCATTACCTATTTATTGATAAAGATCCTTCAAATTATCGTCACCTTGATGTTTAGTAATTTAAAAATGACTGAATTACTGAGGAGGCCCTTAAATAGCAAATGCAGCTAAGAAATCGAAAAAATTACCCGCCTTTGTAAATATATTATACACTTAAATATTGACTATAGAATTATTTCGTAGCTCCGGGCAATAATCTGGAGTACCATGTTAAAAGAATAAGCCGTAAAGAAATATGTTATTTGCGTTTATAGATAATGTTTGATTAACGACTGTTGGGCCCCACAGGAATAAATACACATTGACTTTGTCGTAAGCAATGTGTACATTTATTGTGTACAAAATCATCTATTGTAGAGATTCCATGACGCATTTTACAATCTAACAAAAACTCCATTTTCAATGAATCTAGTTCATTCAGGCAGCGATTGAACGATTAAAACCGACTACAATAAATAGGTCTATTTGTAAAGGACTCAAGTATAGTCTAGAAAGGAAGTACCAAAAATTTTTGTTAGGTATCATCTGTAAGTCTACCTATTGTAAAAAGTGATGTAAGCGGTAAATAACAAATTCCATGTAAACCTTGTTGTGGTATTTTTACTTTATAGTTTATTTGGGCCCCGGTAAATATATTTGAATTGCTCTTGACTTTGCAAGAATAACTTATCCAGAGTCAAAAAATCTCAAGGATTATCATTCTCTCGCATTTAGATGTTTATTGGTGAACACAACTAATCTATTAATAATAATTAAAAATTGTCAGCCTAAATCAATTGAGTAAATATAAAAGCTAAAAAAGGAACTTACCTGGAATTTTTCAGCTTCCGAGAGCAAGTAGTAGAAGCACCCGAACCAGTGTGCTAAGATGAGCAGGATATGGATGAGGTTGATGACTCTCCAGAAATTCGGATATACCGTCCTGGACTCCACTATGTAGTAGCAGCTTACTGCTCTGTATACCTGTAAATAAATAAATGATAAACTGTTGTCTAACTCTACTAGAAATCTTTTAAGCTGTGTCAGACTGGCGAGGTGAGGAAGCAACTGTGGTTGAGATACTAGCGCCATCATGATAACGCTGTATGGCATCTTATAAATAGTTGTTTGTTATGATTATTAGACTTATAATTTTTTCCATTGGTAAATTGTATTTAGATAAATGTGTGCTTAAATTAAAACAAAAAGTTCTTTCGTTAGCATGGCATAAAAACTTAATATCCCGTTTATTTACTTATTAAAGGTTCAACAACAACTGTTTACATTAATTCCTTAAACTAATGCATGCTCGTATATGTATTTAATAACAATGCAACAGTCTCTTATAGGTAACCATCGCTTATGCTTTTAAAATGTATAAAACTCAAAAGTAAAACAATGAATGAAAAAATCTCACTCAGGTAGAATATTAATACATATTTTTTTCATTTAACATTTAATTGCGTCATAGTAAATCACTAAGTACGGACTTTTTCTTATAAATTGTATCGAAGTGTAAGTCAATGATCAATGATCGCTGTAGTGATTTACTACTTTACACATTCTTGCATAGGGAGAATTAGGACCATTAACTGTTCTTCTTAGAGGGGAACAAAGTGGCGCGAAGCTTAAAAAGGACTACTAACTGAGGACAGACAATTTTTCGGTCGAGAATTTTGTACGCGAACATTGCATCAGTTAGGCTTATACGTCTTGCTAGGGATTTTATTCTAAAGTGCCTCATTCTGCCTTCATTAAAGCGTGAATAGAAGCAAGGAGCCAGAGAAATCACTTTTGTTCACGTTCAAGTCGCAATGTGTGTACACCATAATGCGGCCACCAGACTATGCTACCGTATCCCATGTGCTTCGGACTAAAATATTATAAAGATGAATTAATCCAGTAAATTTATAACATAATCATTTGATTCCACTTTCCTAACAAACGTTAGATCATCTGCATACATGAAGACTTCCGAGCACTGGAAACAATCCGGGATGTCATTGATAAAAAAATAAACAACGTAGGATCCAAATATGAGCCTTGGGGGACTCCTGAAGAAATGTGATGTAGAGTTGATTGACATCCATTCATTATCATAAAAAAATACTCCTATCCTGTAAATACGACTTTAACCATTCAAGCAACGAACCATTAATACCATAAGCATGTAATTTGGAAATTAAAATACTATGGGACACTTTGTCAAAAGCTTTGCTGAAGTCCGTGTAAATGGCATTAGCTTGATGACCTGAATCTACAGTTTTTATTAAAAGTTCAGTAAAAGGGACTAAATTAGTACTTGTAAATCTTAGATAGGAGGAGAGGAGATTTTGGCTTACTATATGATACGATCTGCATTATCTGCTTTAAAAATTGGAACCACTTTTGCCACTTTCCATTCTGTGGGCAATACTCTGGTAGATAATGACTTATTATAACTGAGACACACAAGACGAAATAAACATTGGTGGGATTCCGTCAGGTCCAGCTCCTTTCCTAATATATAAACTTTTCAATTTTTGTCAAAGTCGTTTCGTAGTTTATAAAACATAAACTTCTTTTTTTAAGAGTTGTAAGTATTTGAATTAAATTCATTACTAAAGTTTTGATCTAGGGTGTAGACGGATGCAAAGTGATTGGCGAACAACTGACATATTTCTGTACCGGCGAGGAGATATTTTATTTATCTGTCATAGACCTTGGATATGTACCTCCTCTCTTGGCTTTTGTATACCTCCAAAATAATTTAGGTTTTTTTCTAAGTTCATCTTCTAGATGTTTCACTATTATAACACTCGGTAGCTAGACGGTCACAATTTTTGCTAATATATTTTAATTCCATTGCATCTAACCGGTTGTTATATTTTTTATATCGCTTCCGCAGCTTGTTTTTTCGTTCAACCTCATTTTAAAACATGGAGGATATTTATTACTTTTTGGTGCACGAAATGCTATGAATCTTTTTATAGCGGCGTAAATAATTTCATAGAATATAAATCAAGCATTTCATTCACTCCACTGAGCCCCCCAAATAATTGTTCCCTTGTTGTGTTGTTGTTATTAATATTACGATAGAAAATATGTGCTTTTGTTTTTTTTTTTGTGGAATATGCAATTCGGGAGTCACAAGCGCGTTGCCAGCCTTTCAGGAAAGAGCTCGCTCTTTTCTTGAAGGTTTGAAGGTCGTATCGGTCCGGCAATACCGCAGCCGATAACTTGTTCTTAAACCACGACTATTCTGGTAATAAATTTGCAAACTATTGAATGTTATCGAAAAAACAAATAAATAATCGTGCCAAAATTACAATAGTTTGATCCTAAGTTTAATCTATAAAAAGCAAAGAATAATTACAAAATCTTCTTTAAGTTGTCGTAGTTTTTCAGAGTATACGAGTATGATTCGCGTTGTCGTTATCGCAACCACACATACTTATACCCCTTCTCCTTTGCCTTGAGTCTGGTAGCGGCATGAAGTGCTTTATTCACAGCCGAGAGGTGTTTGACGATGTAAACGGGTGTTCTATTGCCAGCAATAACAAAGTCAGCGCTATTAATCCTATTCTCGGTATGTTTCTTATTTTACTCAGTAAAAGTGGCTAGAAACTGGTCACGAGTCTTTGGCGACGACAGCTGGACAACAACGAATCGAGGGTGAACATTGCAGGTATTAAGTTTTGGCTATACGAGTGGCATGTAGAATATCGCTATCCTTAATTTGTTGTTGTTTAACAATAGTATGTGAATTTTCCTTAGGGTTTTTTCAGGTAAACATTGAATCTCAAAATTGTTTAAAGATGAATATTGTTCCATGTAATTTAATCTAAGCGTCAATTCCAAAACTGTGGTTTTCAAATGATGTTCTTACCATGTTTGAGTGTGTGTTATAATAACTTATCAAGTGAAAATTACCAAAACAAAACGCTTTGAATTTTCCTTATCATAAAATTGGAATTGATTAAGTGATAAAGCGTACAAAGTATTTGAAGGATTACCAGCCTAATAGTCAAATAAATACCTCACTATAACTTTAAGTGAAAATTAAAATTGTTTGATAAAAAACATTTCACAATCAACTCTAACACAAAATATAGCATTATAAAAGGAAAGAATACGATATTATATTGACTGTAAAGGAGAAAAAAAGAACTTGTAAAGGCAGCAAAGACACCCGCATTTTATTATCACAAAAGAATAAAATTAGGTACTGAACGGCAACATATATCAAGGAAGAAAATATTACACGTATCAAAAAGAGATCCTATTAAAATTTACGATGTAATTTGCAAGTATTTATTGAGAACAGTTATTCAATATGGGAATTACATGTTATAGGGAAATCGAATAAGAGTATAATTTTAAAAAGGGAAAAAATGCATTTTCTTCATGTTTTTCTTTGTTTCTTTTTATTATTTTCTTAATTATTTGAAGAGCTTTAAGGATTAAGTTTCATATTTTTGACACGCTTTCTTTTCTCTCTTTTACAGTACGTAAAACTGTAGGCACGAATAACAATACTACAATTTGGCATCTTGGAGTCGATATCATGTTGGAGCTGAGAGGTGGAAAGCAAAACTCTTCAATGGCTACTAGTAAACGCTTTGAATTTTGGACCCATATGATCTGTTTTAAAGTCCACCACATTGAGCATAGCAATGACGGTCTGCTGCTGGAACTAGGAGATGAATAATTTACTTTTTTAGGTTTTTAGTTGATTAGCTAAGGAGTGCTTTTTTAAGTTTTTCTAAAGTAAAATTCATTTGTGTCCTTGCTTTGTGATAATTTCATTACAAGATTTTATAGTTTATCTTGGCGGTAATCAATACAAATTAAATATAGACAATGCATGGTGAACAGATGTTTTTACATTGAGTTTTAACTTAGTGTCAAATTATTTTCTACCGTTTTCCGTGTAGTAGTATTATTATTAGTAGTATTATTTTCTACCATTTGCCATGACCATGCCATGATATCAGTGGGCCACTTACAAGAGACTGGTTTTACAGGACATTAGTCAAACAGGTGCTTTATTTTTTCTATTGTCTAGGTATACCATCACAAAGTTGACCTAAGCTGACACTCAGCCTTCTGCAATGTCTAGCTGCAATTTAACCAAAAAGTTCCTTATTTTCTAACACATAATTTTTTGTCATACAATAGGAGCTAATAACATTTATAAGCACATTTTATTTCATAAGGAGTGCCATTGATGCTCATATAAATAAAAACGTGACTGTCAGTTTAATGTCTTCTCCGTGACATGGGTAAACCTTCAATATGAAAATGAGGACAAGTTATTCAACAGAAGTTCGCTGTATTTACAAGAAAAGGTCGGTATCAAAACTTATCAAAATATCCAAATACACGGAAAAGAGATCAAATCAGAATCAAATCAGTCTGAAAATATTTTAAGGAATGTACATAAATTATGATTTTCAAATACTCCTAATAGAAACTTATCTCAAATTGATTTTAAATGTTCGGCTGAATTTAAAAACCCGTGTAAAGTGTTTTAAATGGAAATAGGCAAAGAAACTTACTCATTTTACTTTCTAAGTTTAAAATAAACCAAGTACAATTATAACAATGTAAGCGTTTTTTTAATCTTTAGACTCTATTGTATTTTATGCTTCGATCATTTTTCTCTCTCTTTCTTTTCGTCTTATCTCATCATTTCTCTTAATTTATTTCAATGAATAGAAAAGCTAATCTATTTTTTGAAGATTTGCAAATGAGTTTAAATGGTTTTCTTATTTTGTCACAGAAAAGTCCAACTGTAAAACCACATTCCGTTGAACAGTTTCTATAAATTTTTGTTATATACTTAAGTAAGCGCGTGTAGGTTTCCACAACGCATTATTTTTGAGTTATTGAACAATAGGCTTACGGGAGAGCATCTCCGTACGCTTTCCTACATTTACTAAAGACTTTTTCGCACTATTTAACAACGAAAATGGCAAGTACAGGTAATAGGAGGAAATGGAACGTTATGTTCAAGAAGGATGTTCTATTCGCAAAATAAATCACATTTTACTTCATAGCGAGTCTTATTCATACTTTTACGTTTTTACTTACTCTTGTAGCCATAAAAAAAAAACAGTTTTTTTCTTTTTTTAGGGTGGGTGGGTTACAGGTGGCAAACAAGCAGACGGGTTATATAATGGTAAGTGACTTATGCATTATTGTCATTATCTTTCTGAAGCAGATGTATGTCGACGTTTGTTTTAACAACTCTACAGAATTTAAGATCATCTGCGTACAAGAAATTTCGGAGTAATTAATGCTGCAAATAATATCGTTGACAAAGTAATTGAATAAAATGGGACCAATGTGAGAATATATCATCAATATACCATAGATCTGGATAAGTGCCGGCAGTAAAGGACATGTTGTAAATTACAGATAGAGGAAGAGCTAGCTAAGAAGCGCAATTAATTAAAAGATTGGAGGAATCCCATCTGGGCCGGCGCCTTTACGATGATCCACAGATTTAAGGCTATTTTAGATGGTCTCTGCTCAATGACAGGAACTGTCAAAGGCAAAGTCTTGTTTTTAATGTTTTTTAAGTAATCTGAGTTTGGGATACCTTTTAGCGCTTGTCGATTGTTAAAATAAGAATAAAAATGAGTAGTAAACATTTCACAAATTTCATTGCCGTTAGAAGTGGTTATGATATTGTTAGTCATTGAGAGAGGCCGCCTCATTTGCCTTTAATATAGGTCTGAAACTTCTTTGGATCCTACTGTTTCTATATTTTCAATATACATTTTACAACAGTCAGTTGAAATTATTGAACTACGCTTGCTAAGCAGCTTTAGTTCTAGCGCATCCATGGGTTTTTTGGAGACTTTTGGTTTTTTGTTTATTTCTTACCTATTTCTTTTCTTTAAGCGTTCTTATTAAACTTTTGTCAAACCAAACAAGAAATTTTCTTTTTCGTGCGCCTTTGGTAGATATATGGTTATTAATAATACCCTCGATGACGTCATAAAAAACATTGATCATTTTATTGACATCCAGTTAGTCAGCCAGTCGACAGAATCTAGTTGTGTACAAATGCTTTCATAATTAAGGTTCAAATAATTAGGTTTGGGAGTGCTGTTGTTATGAAGTCTGGCGTCAAGAGACGCTTTAATGTAACTTTTAAGAAAGGGGTGTAAAGAATCGACAACACTCAAAGGGTTTCAGCACACACGCTGTTAGAAGGTAAATTAGTCAAAACCAGGTCTAGTATACGTCTAAAATTATTAGTAACATCGTTAAGTTGCTTGGGTCTGTTTATGTAAGTAAAGTCAGTAAATAAGTGACTGATGCTCGGTGGTAAATACACATTATCAAGTCACTTACCAAGCTCCAGTTGATACAAGCCAAATTGAAATGTCCGACTACACATGTATACAGGTTTGATTGTTCAAATATCGTGTTACATCGGTCCAGAAAGGGTTCTAAAGTTGAACGGGTCACCGGCGGTAGTACGTTAACTGTGCACAAAGCTATTTGACGTATTGACTTCGCAATAGGTACATCAACCGTGACCGAGATATCCTCGCATTAAGTTTTTGTACGTAAGCCTCGAGTATTTTGATAGTATCATTTCAATGTGTTGAATTTAATTTATATAAATAATAAACAAGATGCAAAAAAATAACTAAGTATACCTAAACAGAAAGAGTATTCTTTTTATTGATTTTTGTAGGGTGCCCATATCTCTAATTAGGATATGTTCAGTTGCCTGAGTTTTCCTTATGTATCCGACCTCACTTAATCCAGACGTATTGGTAACCAATCTCCTTTACCTTAATTTTTGCTGCGGTTTGTAAAGCCCTGTTGCTAGCAGATGTTGTAATACAAAAATTGGCGTTTTAGGTCCTGAGTATCCCAGATGAGTAGTATTCAACTTATGACATGAGAAATAATTTAGGCATAAAAGATCATTTAAACAATAATAATAAAAATAACATGTTAAAATAATAGTTGGTCATCATCATAATAATTACTAAAATTGTTAGATAAATGGCTTGGAATTTGCCAGTTCTATAATGTTGACAATGATCGAGTGTAAATATTTTACAAAAAATAATAGTACACAATTTTTATAATGGCAATGGAAGTTATACACAAAAGAGATCAACATTTATTTTTCTAAAGGAGTAATTATAGAATTGTCATCCAAAAAATCTTTTAAAGAGTAGTAGCATTTAAAATTTATAGTGTCTCAGGTAACTTATTAAATATCTTTGATTTAGTTTCTCTTATTACAATACCATAATTATTTTTATTTGAAATACTTTGTGCGAATATATTGCATGGGATGAGTATGGCCGTATTTTTTAATTTAATTAAAAGCAACTCCCGCACTATGAATATATCCTGTGTCGCGGTGGACTTAACAAACAGACACAGACTTGAAAACTCAGCACAACAATTTGTGGATCACACAAAGTGTTGTCCCATGTTGGGATCAAACCCTCAATATTCAGCGCAGTAGAAAGTAGCGTGGCGACCGTGCTGACGGCAGTAGGGGTATTTTGAGTGTGAGTATGTATGAGTATTAAGTATGTTAAAAACATTTATTGTTTTAATTTTGAAGGTTAAGAAACAAGGTCTTTATGACAAAAACTCTATCGACAAAAGCCCAGCTCTTAAATCCAATGATGATGGCTTTATTACTTACAATAGGCGATTAAGGCAAATGAAATTATTCGTCTTAGCTCGAGGATTTATTTAAATGCTGCGTTACATCAAATTAATTTCCTGAAGGTGTCTATTTATTCCATTCGAGGACCATAAATGTAATTAATTCAGAATATTTGATTTACAAATTCTGAGCTTTCAAATTAATATTACGGAAGCACTATAGAGTAACATCATCGTGTAGATAGACGGTTGAAATTGTCCCAAATTATCTTTGAAGTTATGCCATGTTTGGATAGAGACAGCTTGCGAACTGTTTTCGTTGTATTATATATTCTTTCCTAAATGTGAATAAGAATGAAATGAATAAGGCTAAGACGCGTTTCTTCGTAAGTTATATTTAGATATATTATAGATAGATATTATAGACAGATATTTTGCTCCAGCCTCTTCACATCACATCAACACATTAATCAGACAAGACACTTTAGTTGAAGACAACTTAATCCTTAGAATACATTATTTTTTCGGAATTTTATATAACTATAAAAAAGAAGGGGGCCCTTCGGCCGCCATCAAAACCGATGGTTCGTAACCAGTCGAGTTTCGAATCAGGATCTTTTTTTCTTTGTATGGAACTTTTACGATTTTATCTAATAAGCCGAAACATTGAAACGTTAAAATAACGTTGTGTAATTAGTCGACGATCTTATTTTGTTTTCCATTGCATGTACATTTTATTACAGGGAAGTTCAGTGTGTTATGAGTCGGGTTCGTGTAAATATACTTACCTTAAGAAATCTGGGGAATCGGATGATGGGATTTGTGCCAATCTTCAACTGGAGAAGATCTAATGGGGTCAAAGAGGCGATGTCTAGTAGAAACGGGCGTGAGCTAAGATAATGTTTTGCTAGCTTTTTCGAGTCGTATACCTGTATAAAGAAATTTATTCTTATTAATATTATAAATACGCCAGTTTACGAGTTTTTCATATTTTTTTTGTATAATGGGGCAAAACGAGCAGACGGGTCACCTGATGGTAAGCAACTACCACCACCCATGGACACCTGCAACTCAAGAATCACTTTCATAGAAAACTAGCGTACCCGACAGACGATGTCCTGTACAGACGTCTTAAACAAAACAAATCATTTTGTAGTGGACCGAATTGTAAATCTAAACAATTATAGAATCCGCTTGAACACACACAAAAAAATTCATTAAAATCTGTACAGCCATTCAGTCGGAGTTCAGTCACATACACACGCATAGAAGAATTACATACAAAAAGTCTAACTGTACCCTGCCACGCTTCGCTGTCACATTGAGGCTGTATGAATGTGAAATGAAAAACAAAATTGACGCGAAAAATAGATAAAAACAGTCTTTGAAGCGTATTATGTGTTAAAATATATACTGTATCGGCAAATAACTTTTTGAGTTTTTGAAGGGTACACAAACCAACTTAACATTTCTAATATAGATAGATGCATTTGTTACTTCTAGGCGTTAAAAAGGATGTATTGATTTTAATGAATAATACAATAAAGGTAGATTTTATTTTGATTTAATTGGTTATCGTACTCCATAGCAGGCAAAAAGTACTAATGGATCTTGGAATTAAAAAAATATTACCATGAGCCCCTGCTCCAAATATCCTGTACGTAGCTGGACGACCAGGTCCAGCGCGAAGACTAGGTCGCTGAAACCGTCGCACGTCAACCAGAAGTAATGGCACATGATCTGTTGAACAAAATTATTATGTATTAACGAAAGAAATTAAATAACACTACTTATGTCTTAAGAATAAATTAAAATAGGTAATTCGTAAGTGTGGTTTTTTTAATGGATCTTGCCTTGGGTAATTTTTAATTGGTGATATGTATTAATTCGTTTTCAATCTACAATTTTTTTACATATATTTAATTAATTTAATTATAATATAAAAAATAGTAATTTTAGTAAAAAAAAATTATATTTTCTAACTTACTTTTTCTGGTTTCAATTACGATATTATTAAATAGCTGTTTTTAATAGAAGAATAAAACTTAACAGATTTACAATGGAATTATTTATTAAATTAAATTTTTGCGCTGAATAATGCGAATTTTTTTTTTTTTTTTTCGCATCTCCAACAATCTTTTTCAATATTAGACTTCTAAATTCAAAAACCTTTTTTTTTTCTTCCGAAGATTCATCCAAAGACAACCACAGACTGTGGTCGCCTACATTTTATATACTCGTATACGACAATTCAAAATGTTGTCAAAAAATCAAAGTACAAATTTGTAACTCAAACTAATTTCCAATCAACAACGTTTACAATTCAATTTATGTGTAAAGTTTTGCACAGTTCTCCGTCAATATTCAATTAACGAACTAATTTCATTAGCTGTGCAGTCTCTTGGTGTGCGCTTCAAACGAGTATATTATTTAAAGATTCAAAGATATCTCAATATCACCGTTTTAGATATTAATGGATATGATTTCTTTATCCTTGCTTTGAAGGTTTTTTTAAATATGAATTTTATCTGTAGAAATGTCTTCATAGTTTTGTAAGGGATTATTGACAATTTTATACGGGCTAGAAAATCCGAATGAATGTTTTTTTTTTATTATCAACTGTGGATGAAAATCCAACTACATAATTAAGGCATACACGGTAATTGCAAGGTGTCGTTAACAAAAAATAATTGCAGACGACAACCCAGTAGTGTGGTTCATTGGTGTCGTTTACAATACACGATATTTTATTGAGTTTTAAAACATTTTGATACTTTCAAGTAATGGAACATTCCTATTTTACATGTGAGTAGGTGAACACTTCTTTAGATTGCCAATAAAAGTCATAAAAACGAAGCTTAGATTGAAAATGTTATATCCTATATCAAAGCTTCGAAATATCGAAAAGTGAAGACAAACACGCAAACTGGGTGCAAGTCGATTGGTGTTTTATAAAGGAATCGGGTGAAATAACCTCGGAGGGTATTTGGTAGTTTCGACCTTTGTTTACGAAAACTCTTCACAACGAAAGGGTTAACTCGGAAGACGAACGTAAGTGGAGTGTTAAAGTATTGTTTTGTCTATGCTTTATTTTAAGCGGGGTTTTTAGGTTGAGAATGTTGTTTTAACTTTGTTATCTATGGCATGTTTCAAGTATCAGTATTTTGTGATTCTAATTGGATTTCGTGATACTCTTGCACAATAATGAACGAGGGGAATGAAGTTAGCGAGCCACAGATCTCACGAATCCTCAAAATGAAAAAATAAGTACTTAAAAATTTGGGTGATGAATTGTAGCTAGTTGTTGTAGCAAGTAGATAATAATTGGTAATACAGCAATTTTTTTTTCAAGAAAAATGGAAAGGAGCATCCTGGGAATAAAATTATCAGATAAAATTCGCAACAGTGACATAAGAAGTAAGACAAAAATAAGATTACTGAATTAGCACTGGGCAGGACATGTTTGCAGGATGAATAATAAATGGACAAAACGTTGAACAGAGTGGGTACCAAGGAACAGGAAAAGGAGAAAAGGGAGGCCTAGTAAAAGATGGAGAGACGTTTTCAGACACAGGTGTGGTAATCACTCATTATCAGGGTGGGATGCAAATGGCTCGGGAACGAGGTGTTTGGAAAGGTTTAGGAGAAGTCTACGCCGCAGAGGCGACTACTACTAGCATATTATAATAATTACTACTTTGATTGCATACACTTATTTATATACACATATACCTAGATAGATAAATATAGATCTAAATTAGTTTGTAGAGAAATATAGCTATATAGTAATATAGAAAGATTCATGAGAAAAAAAAACTAAAAATGTAAATGTAAAGTAGGCTATTAGAGGCTTGTAAACAAAGGCTATTATTATTTATTTTATTAAATGATTGGTAAACAGGATCAATTGTTTTGCATCCCTTCATTTCTAATTATTAATTATTTCTCGTTTCTTGAAATATTCTATGTGTAGGTAGTATCCAAAAAACAGACAAGTGATTGGTTAACTTGATAATAGCGGTCTTGCCCATCAAGGTAAAAACCCACCACAACATAACAAGTTAAAGTAGTATATATTTTATCCATGAATTTAGTTGTAAAGGTAGTATTTATTATCGTAGAGATATTTAAAAAATACAAGCCCCGCACTAGGAAAACATCTAGGTTCGCAGAGGGACTTTACATACATACATAAAGCGGACATAAAGAACACCCAGACTCAGAACAACAATTTGTAGATAACACAAAGTATGGTCCCATGTTGTGGGGATCGGAACCAGAACACTTAGCGCAACAGGAAGTGGCAAGGTGACTGCCTAAACTACTTAGCCATCCGTGCAGTCAATATATCAGAAAAAATTTAGCAAAGTCAAACATCTGGATGTCTGACTTGGCAGTCAAATGCACTACTGTTCCACCGCACTATAAAGTTCTTTATGAAATCATTGCTAATTCGAATTTCTTTCTCGCTAGAATTAGACTAGTGTAGACTTTTAGTACAACGACAGGTACAGGACAGGTAAGAGGTTACAGGACATGTTTTTTTATTTGTAAAACAGTATAATATTTAAAAGTTTTACATTCCTTTACGAAAATAGAGTACGATTTGTGTCATTTTACGTTATTATTTTATCGAAGACTAGTAGACTATCGTGCGATTTTTTTGAACCCAGTTGTAGCATTCTCTATCGGTAGACGATGCTACAACTGGGTTACAATTTTGTGAATCTAACCCATTTACGGACCCAACCTAACTGATGATTTTGATGATGTTTTTTATGTAGGTAACATACAAACAAAAATCATCAGTTACAAACACACGTACGTATAGAAAAACGTACGTACGTATAATATATATATATAAACATACATATGATAATTTGACACATCTCAAACACGGCAGTCTGATCTCAAACTAAGCAGAGCCCGTGCTATGGTAAACAGACTGCTGATAAACATACTTAAATATTTCTAAAAACATACATATTACAGACGAATTACACTCAGACACAGGAAAAATGATCGTTCACATCACACCATAATTTGTACTGGGTGGGAATCAAACCCACGACCTCCGGCTTAGCAGTTAGGGTCACTAACCACTAGACCAACAGGCCCGCCATATACAATAGAAATTCTATAAAGACATGCACGTAAGATGAGATCACGTAGACGTTTTAATAAGATGCCGTTTTTCAAACACGGATCGATATTCAACCGCGTACGTAAGACCCGGTTATCGCTGGTAATGGTACAGATGCACCTTCTATCTGTCCAGAAAAAGGAACAGGTTGCTAATGGCAGGATTTGTGGTGTCAATATTAGTTAGCACGTGTTAAAAAGCCGTCGGGCCTTTTCGTAATTGTGCAGCAGTATGCAACTTTTTGCAATGGGAGAGAGATGATGATGATGTAACTTTTTTGTGTACTCGTATCACGAACTAAAATAATAATAATAATATATACATATTTAGAGGCTCGCGTTAGGTAGCTGGAATAATGGCCTAATACAGAAAGTTCTCGATACGGCACATTTTGTGAAGAGATTTCCGTCTCTGGAGTCCTAACCACCGGTATCTTGGTCCCTGTACCCAATACTGACACTATTTTAGAAATATTTCAATGTACTTTGTTTTTTTTTTCACATATATATTTAAAAATGTAATTTATATGTATATTCAATGAAATAAAGAGAATAAAAATACTTTCGAACATCTGACACACATCGCCATCTAGGTTCATGAAAGCTACATTACCTGATAGAAAACCTATTCTCCTTTTTTTTAATACACACATATTGTACATAGAAAACACCAAAACTTTGAAACAAATATTTGGAGATCAAACAAACATTTCGTCCTACAAGAGATCGAACCCGGGAACTTAGTAGAGCAGTCGCATACTTTACGACTATATACTACTATACTTGAAATACTGCTAAAAATCTTCAATCAGTCACTATATCCATGCTGATCTTTATGTTTATAAAGGTAAATCAACACACATACTGACTAACTTTTAAACTTTCGCGTTCCATGATAATTAATATTATTTAACGGGAATTAACGCGATCTCTTATTTAGGGTATTACATACCTCTGGTTTGCCTGACGTTTCGACCAGGTTGCACCGGCCGTGGTCACAGGCTGACTGGCTCATCGGCGCACGCCACCGTCGTCGAATCCGTGAAGTAGAAGGCTCTTCATCTACCCGCACATTTTCGATATTGTTTTTGTTTCGCCATGTACCGTCACATACCACACTAACAGTGTCCCTATTCTGTAAGCAAACCGATAAGTCCCTATTCTGGTGTTTAACCGATTGCGCAGAAAAGCGAGGTGGTATGTTTTTTAACACTGGATTCCACGCTGTAGATAATTTAAAACCATCTTCCCGATTGAAAGTTTTATGCTTTTTAATCTCAATCGCTTCACGTACAACTCTTGAGTAAAAGTGACGTTCGGTGGAGAGGACTTGCGTGCGGTGAAATTCAATCCAGTGGTTGATGCCTGCATCGAGTGCATGTTCTGCAATCGCTGATTTGCTCGTCTGTCGGTTCTTCACAGCAGCGATATGCTCTTTGACCCTTTCTGCAATAGTCCGCTTAGTTTGGCCTATGTATGACCTTCCGCAGCTGCAGTCTATTTTATAAACACCCGGAGTTTGTAGTGGCAATATATCCTTCGGTGTGCCGACGATGTTGTGAACCTTTATGCCTGGTGTGTATACTGTCGGAATG